TCTCCTCAGAGTCCACCCACGGATGTTCTCAGCTGGCCAGTCATAACCCTTGCACGAGAGAGCTCACAGCAAAACATCATATGCCCTCTCACAAGCCAACCCCCAGCAAAACATCACATGACAAAACTGAGTCTTCAAAGAAACCACAAACTTCCACTTCATGGCTCCATCTTGATCTCGACACATGGATTATCTCCTACTCTATTATTATTATTATTTTTATTCTAAAAGCTCTAAGTGCCAGGGACACCTATCTCTAAGCAGAGCTGAACAGCTGAGTTGAAAACTGTCACAAGGCCATTCCTGTGCTTCCTCTTTTGACTTCCTTGGGTCAATTGTGCTTTCTTTGTTGAGTTTGTTATTCTTCCAAATACAATGTTGGTAGGAGCTTCACATGCGAGTGTGTGGTGTTTATTTAGGCAGACTATGAATACCAGTTGGAGCATTATTCCCATGAAAACTAAGGTTTTGATTTGAAAGTATACCCGTTTTACTGTGTTTACCCTTCTGTTGGCTACTAAGAAGGCCTTTTTTTTTCCTGTTTTAAATGAATGTGGGCAAGGAGGACCATGCCTAACCTAACATCATGTTAAGAGGGTACCTACTGTAGGTGATTTGTTATTTCTTTGTGCCACGCTGTCACCTAGAAGAATGCTTGTGTTGCTCACCAACATTCTGCTTCAAATTTTGCACACGTTGGCACTTCCTATCTCCATCCCAGTTATTCTAACTAAGGATTGGGGTTCCTGTTGGGAAAGGACATCCCCTGGCAAACTCCAGAATCTATACTATTGGCTACAAAATAGGTGTATAGCACATTGACACTCTGTACTTCCTGTTTTGTTCTTTAGAGTCGTGTGTAGTTGGAGCTAATCAGTCAGCTCAGGTTTTCTATCTTTTATTTTTAATAAAAGTGAGATGTTGCTAAGTTCCTCAGGCCAGGTAATGCTCTTGTTTTACAAAGCAAGTGTCCTGCCTGGTTGGTTGCCTGCTTGATAAGAGCTGGAGCCATCTGAGAGGAGGAGACCTCCACTGAGAAAATACCTCTATACGATCAGCCTATAGGCAAACCTGGAGCCCATTTTCTTGATAATGATTGACATAGGAGGATCCAACTCACCGTGGGTGGTGCCACTCCGGGCCCAGTGGCCCTGGGTTCTGTAAGAAGGCAGGCTGGGCAAGCCATGAGGAGCAAACCAGTTAGCAGCACTCCTCCATGGCCTCAGCTCATGTCCCAAGGTCCTTCCCCAGCTTCCCTCAGGGATGGACTTAAACTATAACCTGGAATAAACATCCCAGTTGCTGTTGGTCACGGTGCGGTCATCACAGCAAACAGAAACCCTAACTAAGGCACGAGTCTTGTCTATGAGAAGGCCAGAGAGAAACTTACTTGGTCCACAGTAAATATGAGCGGCTGCTGGTTGCCCTCAAGTTGAATTGGCTTCTGCTGGTTACCAGCACGGCTTGCCAACTTAAAGGAAAAGCAATCAAATCGACAGACGGGTTAGTGATATCTCAACTGTGACTTGCTTCAAGGAAAGTTCGAAGCCAGATCTCATCAGCACATGAGAAGGAATATGTTTGTTTTGTGCCTTACAAAAAGCACATTATTTGGGAAATACCAGGGGGCCAAGCCCTGCTTTCCATCTCCTTTGATATAAAATCACACATTAGTGAAGAAGGCTGAAGAGAGGCAGTCCAGACTGTGGCCTGGGAAGCCAGCTGTAGGTCCATGCATACAAGATCTCCAGGCTGCTTTTCTGCCCTTTACTGGGACAGGGGCTGCTGTGCCAACACATTAGCATTTAGGGTTCTTGGAAATACCTTAGAGGTTAGATAAACTTGGAACACATCACTTCCTAAGACATGAGATGGGAACCTGCGGTGTGCTTGAAGACTAAGGAATGCCAGTCTTAACAGTAAATGCTTCAACACTGCCACGTGTAAAGGGGGATTTCAACTTAAAGCGAGTAAGTCTGAAGAGTGGAGAGCTGTGCACTTGGTTCCTTTCTCTGTCTTTTGATGCCTTCTGGCTGTTGTCTTGTTCATTTTGTGCTTATCAGTGGGGTCAGTGCTCGGACTCTCCATCAAGTGTGTCCAGAGTGGGTTGGAATGCAACTTCTAATCCCCGTGGTTTTATGCAATCTTAAACTGAAAGCTTCACTGGGCACTGGCTCTCAGGCATTGCAAGGGATGAGGGTGGCCCAGTTCAGAACAGAAGCACATAGCCTGCACGTGTCTTCAGTGTTAAGGTGAGAGGGGACGGGACATGAATGCCCCTAGCCACCTCAGCCCTGTGACCTGATGTGGCAGTGTTTGTTTTTTCTCTGTTTCTATTAAGCTTGCCTATGCAAAGGACCCCTTTCCAGCAAGAGATAAGGGGACTCAGTAACGGGTAGGTTTGGAGACATCGCACAAGCATAGCTGTTGTTGTATAATAATTCACTTTCTGACCACTAGATGGTGCTCATTCACTTCCAAATTTGCTGTTGAGGCTGTTATTTATTTATTTTTTCCTTTTTCTTTTTCTTTTTTCCCATCTTCTTTTGTTTGTTCTATTGTTGGAAAGAGGGTAGACAACCAAATGATTCTTAAACTGAGAGTCCGTGAGCCTCTACAGGTGCAGGTATATGAGAACATTGTTGTGGCTGTCCAGCCTGTGAAAGAATGCACGCGAGCGTGAGCACACACACACACACACACACACACACACACACACACACACAGAGAGAGAGAGAGAGAGAGAGAGAGAGAGAGAAAATTGATTTATATTCTACAGAACCATTTTGACACTTATATTGGACCAGTAAATAATGATTACAAGAAGCATTCTCATGGACTTGTCTGGTTCTCATTGTAGATTTGAGAATCCTCTAGATGAAATGCCTGTACTGTGAATGGGCGTGGCTCAGATGTGCTGTGAGGAGCCTCAGGTTCTCCAGGCCTCATGGCCTGATGGCCACTGGGTTCTCAGTGTAGCAGCTGAAACAGGAAGCAAAACTGGGGACACTCGAGACGGGAATCCAGATCGTGGATAGCATTCCTCAGAGGGTGACTCGTGCAGGCATCCTAAGGGAAGTGTGGGGAAAGTTAGCTAGCAGAAACAGAGAAAAGATCAAGCTGTGTCTAGGCAGGAGTCACTGGGAAATGAGCAGTGAGAATAGCTGGCGATAAAATGGGGGTTCTCTCCTAGCTTGTGGTGGGCAGGCATCCTGGGGACATTGCTTTTAGGTTCCCTGAGCTTAGGATAGTGAAAGACATTTTAGAAAAGTTTCTGCATTTTAGAAAGTGTTCTGAGAAAGTTTGGAGCGGTGTGAAAGTCTTTGCAAATGTCAGAGGTGGGATTAAAAGACAGACTAAGGAACCACTTGGGCAGGAGCAGCAGACGGACAGCGCAGGGAGGGGCAGGACGCCAGTGAAGAGGCTGAATCAGTGACGTTCAGCTGTGAGCATCTCCCTCCCGGAGCCAAGGTACCCCATTCTGTGCATTCCGAAGCTGCAGGGTGTTGTCAAAATGTGATCTCATCTCCTGGTCAGAGGAGTGGGTCGTCTTGCAAATATGGGTTTCTCCTTCCCTTCCTTTCCTGGACTCTCCCCCTCTATTGACCTGTTGCACCTCAAAATGTGTAATGTGCTCAGAATGGTATTGACTCCGATGGGTGTGTTTGGCTGGCTATGGTGGGATCCCAAAATGGAAAGATGTGTGTAGTTCAGGAAAAATCCCCACCCAGCGGTACCGGGACCTTAAGCTGGGTAATTCCTGCTTTGGAAGAACCAAAGACCCTGCAATTGTGGACTGTACCTAGATACTTTCCGATCTCATTGATAATGATCATGACCTATTGATGATCACAACCAAATTTCCTGTTTCTTTTTATCACTAATGAAAATGGGCATAGAACTCTCCACTTACCGCAAAATGGTCTTGATCTGCCCCAGGCTGGCCAGTAAGGTGTCAGAACCCCCAGACTGCTAAATTCTGGGAAGCCGGTGAGAGAGGACTGACCAATAGGCTTGTGAGGAGCCCTCCCTCTGCTGGAAGATTGCAGCTGTGTCTCACCCTCACTCCAGTCCCTCCTCGTGACCCTCACAGGCCTCCCCACTCACTGCATCTGGCCCTCAGTCCTTTCATCTTGCACTCCATTTTCTCTCAAGCAGTAATCTGTTACCATGTATAAAATAGCTTATATAATGTAGCTTTGCCTCCAGGTGCCTTACTCAAGCTCTGTATATGTTGGGGGGTTGTCTTTGCCAACACCTTCCCCACCACCACTACCCCCCTCCTCAGTGCACTACCTGGGTCAGTGGAAGTAATTAGAAATACCTCTCGGATGACTGAGCACTTCCCTATATAAAATTCAGTTGAACAGACAAAGCATGGTGTGTAGCAGTCGCTCTAAATGAACTCTGTAGAGATATGAAATATTCCTGCAGAGATATGAAATGGCCTTTGTTGTTCTACTAACGTTGACCCATGAGAATGTTTTCTATAATAAATTATCGAAGTCTGAATTGTGGACAGAGTTGGAAGACATTGAGTTATAGGACCAGTTCTGAGCCCTATAAAAAACCACTTTTCTAGGGCAAGTTACTAATGCTGCTTTCTATGTCAGTTTTCCATGTTAAAAAAAAAATTTCACAAAGCTAAAACTTGTATTAAATAAATTATTCTATTATCTTTAGAATGGGGCCAGGAATATAGCTGGCACTTAATTCACAAAGCAAATTCATAAATACCTTCTTTTATTTCATAATGGTATGATTTGCTTATTTTGTAAAATTTGAAGTTAAATCACTCATCCAGTTTTCAGAAGAGGAAAAAGAAACATTGATAGATGCACAATTCAGGCACTTTCCTATGCTTTTGATTACAGTGATCACACAGTGCAGTAACTGCTGGGTTTATCGCGGAGTATTTTCTATTGTGGCATCCATCTCAAAGCAGGGAGTTTAGGGAGGAGTCAAAGTCTCACTAACGCCTTTCTTCCTGTTCATTCCAGATCCCCACATCAAAGTTTCCGGGAAGAAAGATGATGTGAAAGAAGCCAAAGAAATGATCATGTCTGTCTTAGACACAAAAGTAAGTGGGTGGGGAGGGCTCTCAACTGAAAGGACACTCCACGCTGGTGACCAAGAACCACGTGGAGGAGGGAAAAAAACAGGAGAAGAAATAAGGAAGGTTTGAAAAGGTGCATGTGATTCTGCTAGGGGGCAGGGAGATAGAGAAAATGCTTCATTGGAATGGTATCATTTCAAGTAATTAATATGTGTGTGCATGTATACATATATATGTCAATATGTGTATATATACATAAATATGTTTGCGCACGTGTGTCATCTTCAAAAAGATACGCTGGTCCTAGCTAGTACAGGGGTAGGTAACAAAGACAGTAGAAATGAGCACATTCGCTTTTCTGAGATCATAGGAGCTCTGTAGCAACATATGTGCGTGTGTGTGTGTGTGTGTGTGTACGTGTTCATGCTTGGCCTGGAATTGGACACATATAAAGAACACGTTAACAAAAGCTAAACACATGTAAGTCTTCACTCCGTTGTGATGCTGTCTTCTTAAGCACACCTGAAGGCCTTGCTATATGCAAGGCACTTTATGTTGTACAAATAATAATTTATTTTTTTCCTCAAAAGTAACTCACCACAGAGATGTTAAAGAATTTTGTCAGCATCTCAAAGCTGATTAAATAGGGAGGTGATTCCAATTCAGGCTATGGTTCTGGCTTTTCTCCCCCTTACTACTAAGTATGATATCAAAATATTTCTGATCTTGCCTTCCTGTCTTACGTTTTTCTGGATTTTTTTGTTCATTAATATTATTATTAGATTTAAGAATTATTTACCTTGTAGTTATTAAGTATCTTGGGGGTTTTTTATCCCCTAAAAGGGGAATACTTTCTAATATTTCAAAGGTTAAAGTGAAAGAAGTTAAGCTTAAAGATAGAAATACTTCTGAGCCAAGTCAAAACTTTATGATTTTAGAAGGTTTTAAAAATCACTGATATTTTAACATCTTGAGTCAAGAATGCCATTAACAGTCTTGAACATTCAAAATGTTTTACGTTGGCCCTTGTAGCATTACACTCAATCCCTCGGAATTAAATATTTGGATGTTCGTTTGACCGACATCTTTTTATTCCCTGTGTCTTGGGGTTTTACCCTTTCTTTTACTGTACCCAAACCTGTGTTACTCCGGCCTTCGGCTGCCAGGGTCCATGCCTTGTTGGTCCTTCTCCACTTCTCCTCCCGTCCATCCTCTGGAAGACAGATGGTTGTGTAAGGGTGGGCGGGTAGGAGCACAGCAGCCCCTGTGTGTAGGAACCCACACAGCATGCTTGTGTGATCTCAGAGGGGGGCTTCATTGCTAGTCATGATCCCTCATCGTCATAGTTCCACCGCCCAACATAGCATCTCTAGTCACGTGATCACACTTTCATCTGTCTTTAGCTACTTGAACTGTTTCATGAATAATGCCTTCAAGAGAAAAGAGAAAGTCTCCCTGAATAATTTATTTGCCCTTGCAACTGACTGTATTTAAGAGGGAATTTTCTCAATATGTATTATGGTTTAAAAAAAAAATTGTCACCACCTTCTGACAAACTCGTTATAAAGTAAGATTTCTTCCTAATGAAGAAGCCGATAGAAATTTGTAAGATTGAGACTGTGCTGCTGAGAAATCTGTAGTTTCCCAGGGAGTCCGCTATCTGTTGGTGCTGGCGTGCCATAAGGGCATGGCGCTTGGCGCTGTTTAATGCATCAGGACGCCCCCCTGCTTCTGCACAGAGCAACCGAGTCACCCTGAAGATGGACGTCTCCCACACGGAGCACTCGCACGTCATCGGCAAGGGCGGCAACAATATTAAGAAGGTGATGGAAGAGACAGGCTGCCACATCCACTTTCCAGATTCCAACAGGAACAACCAGGCGGAGAAGAGCAACCAGGTGATGCCCCTCTCCACACCCTTGAGTCTCAGTGTGCAAATCCCTTCTGAGGAGAGATGGGGGCAAATCGCAATCGGAGTGATCTGTAGAGGGCAGGCATTGTAGGCAGTGTACCCCAAACCCACAGGAGGCTGAGGTAGTCTCAAGATGAAGACCACGGTGAAGAATGAGAGTCTGTCAGCCTGGTCCAGCGTGTGTCTCCATAACTGTGGGAGGGGTCCTTGAGGTCACCTTCTAACAGGCGGTGCACAGAGCCCCCCTTCCTCACACTGGCGGGATTACAGCTGTGTTTGCTCTCGTGCACAGCCCCGGGGCTGCTTCTCTTTGGAAGTCGTGGGTCCACGAACAAGCAACCCCAGTCCTTGAAGACAGCATACCACCGTCTGCTGTGTTCTTTAGATGACACAGCTAGTGCCGTGATGTGACTCTGTCAGTCCCGAGGACGAATGGGGATTGTTTCGTGTTGGGGTATATGTGCGGCCTAGGTAGAAAGCCTTGACTGAGGGCACAGCCATCATCCAGCATACCTGATGGTCGCTGTGACACTACCTAAAGAGCAAGTGTCCTGGAACTCAGTTCTCCCACCCAGCCTAAGACAAACACTTTAGTTGGTGGTTCATGGTGAGGCCCAGGGCTCTGTGGAGAAAGCTGGCTCTGGATTACCTACCAGCAGGTATGGTGGAGGAAGGCGGATGGCTAAGGGCCTAAATACAACCTTATCATTGCTGTTAATACGTTCCTGATACACTGAGAAAAAAAAAAAAAAAGACTTTAAACCAAAGGGGGAAATGCTGTGGACGAAAGTAATGATAAAGGGATCAGAATGGCCTCCTGGGAGCTACTGGCTGTGGCTAAGTCCAAGGGGTGACATAGATCAATGGCCAGGCATCACTAGAGGAGGGTTTCATTAAAATCAAAGTCCGGTTTGGTGGGTTTGGCTGAGGTTTGTTGGTCATGAGTCCCCATGCCCACAGGCTGAGCAGCAGGGAAGGCCGACGTGGGCTTGAGTGGTAGAGCAAGCCTCGCTCTCTTGTTTTGCAGGTGTCGATAGCAGGACAGCCAGCAGGAGTAGAATCGGCCAGATCGAGGATTCGGGTAACTGCGCCCAGCTGTGGGATTGTCCGCGCATGCGCACCACATTTACCTACCGAGGCCCTGCAGTAGCCTCATTCGCTGTTCGGTAACCAAGTCCCGATTTCAGTAAGCATAGAGACCATGGGACAGGGTGCCTTCCTGAGCACCTGAGCCTCTCTTACCTGGTCTGTGTTCGTCAGTAGACTACAGCATTCTAGGTTTACTTGTTAATGCGTCTCTATAGGAAACTTTCTGAAAAGGTTCTAGGCTTTGGCCTGACTCAGTGATCAGTTCAAGGCAGAGGGTGCCGCAGGCAAAAGCCTCCTTCCGTTAGGAAACAATGGCACACTGCACTGAAGCTCCGGCCCTCCCGTGAAGGCAATTCATGTCTCAAAGCCCGTCTTCAGGAGAGAGCACATGGTCTACGTGGCCCCTGCAGACACCATGCTTTACGGCTAACTTTGGCCTCTCCTAGGAGCTGCTTCCTTTGGTGCTGATGTTCGAGTTACCGATCGCTGGGATTCTCCAGCCGGTCCCGGATCCTAACGCCCCCTCCATCCAGCGCATCTCACAGACATACAGCGTTTCTGTGTCGTTTAAGCAGAGGTCTCGGATGTATGGTGCTACTGTCATAGTACGAGGGTCTCAGAATAACACTAATGCTGTGAAGGTGGGTGAAGTCAAATGACGTCGATTTTTTTTTTTTTTTTTTTGAGACAGGATTTCCTACCTCAGGCTTCCAGCTACTGGGCTCCTAGATTAGACATGTGCCACCACATGCCACCACCAGTACAAGTTTTATGTTTACGGATAGCAGAGTCCTTGGCATCCGGAAATGTCTTCTTGTGGGCTTATAGAGCAGGCTTCTGATAGTCCCATCGTGTTGGAGGTCCGACAGAAACTTCGTCCGTATAGGGACAGTTGTATTTGATGGGATTGGTGTCCCCTGCCCCCCGCCCCCACCCCCAACTCTGCTCTCCTCCGCTAGGAAGGGACGGCCATGCTCTTGGAGCACCTTGCAGGAAGCTTGGCCTCCGCCATCCCCGTGAGCACGCAACTGGACATTGCAGCCCAGCACCACCTCTTCATGATGGGCCGGAACGGGAGCAACGTCAAACACATCATGCAGAGGACAGGGGCGCAGATCCACTTTCCCGACCCTAGCAACCCACAGAAGAAATCCACCGTCTACCTCCAGGGCACCATCGAGTCTGTCTGCCTGGCAAGGCAATATCTCATGGTAAGGCTCCTGGAGTTAGGTTGGTGGGGCTTTTCTGTCGTGTCTTCGAATGTTGTGTGTTTTCACACCGACTCTGCAATCCTGCTATTAGGAAAAGCAGTTTTGAAGTCTGGCCAAACAGGGGAAAACGTCCTGGTAAAAGGAAATAAACTGGAGAGTAAGGGTCATTGTGCCTCCACAGGCTAAATCTCGTTGCTGTAGGGAAGCAATTTTCTTATATTTTTCTTAACTTAGACTAAACACAGACGAGACTGTAAATGACTGTACTTTGTGGTGTGGATGGAAGGCGACTGTGTTTGACGTGGGGCGCTGGTGGGTAGTTCGAAAACTAAAAATACCATCTAAAGGTCACCTTCAAAGGCTGAGGGCATGGCTCAGCTGACAAAGGGCCTTCCACAAAAGGGTGAAGGTCTGAGTTTGGACTCCCAGCACTCATATGAGAAGGCAAGTGTGGAGCCATGTGTCTGTAATCCCAGAGCTGATCAGTGTGGATGGCTGATCAGCTAGTGAGTTCCAGGTTCATGAAGGGAAACTCTTTCTAACTGAATGAATGAATGAATGAATGAATGAATGAATGAATGAATGTGGAGAGGAAACAGTAGAGGAAAATGCCTGCTGTTGGTCTCTGCCCATCACAGATTATACCCACACGTACGTTAAACACATGACCTTTGGCAATCTGAAACATGTATGTATTGAATACATTCACTATATAAATAAAAATACCATTTCACTCATGAATTTGAATGCCGTGAAAGAAAAAAAAAATCAGTTTTATCATTCAAAAGCATTCTAATTTCAGGCCTTTCTCTCCTTCCCGTGTTTATTTGAAACCCTAGTGTGTGGGTTGGTATGTAGTGACAGCAGACAGCCATATTGCTGGTCTGGCAAAGACTTGTAGTAAAAACAGATTGCACTCTCTCACTCGGTGTTCAGTCTTTACTGACACTTGAGTCAATGGGCATCAGGGGTGACCTTGGCTTTTAACTGGCAGGGTCTTTTTTTTTTTTTTTTTTTTTTTTTTTTTTTTTGGCCGGGTTTTTTTTTTTTTTTTTTTTTTTTTTTTTTTCAGAGAACCCAAGTTTGTATTGTTGAGTCCAGTCCGTCCCTCTGATAGATGAAACTTCTTATAACTAATCAGGGCAATGAGAGCTTTAAAAATTCATTTTCTGTCAGTGCTGGCTTTGGTTAGCCACGTTTATTTTTACTATATTGTTGTTACTGCTCTGACAGTGGAGCGGGCACATTTACATATAAGAGCTGCCACAACTGCCCATCATAGTGTCCTTGTCAGATGTTATTTTTAAGCTTAAAATGCTTGAAAAGTTCACAGATTTACCTTCCTACTTTGACCACACCTGCCAAAAATATAGATGTATTTTGAAAGGCACTATTGCACAATATTGAAAAAAAATAAAAGTCACTTTTATTCATGAGTGAAAAAGACAACTTATTCCATTTTGATCACAGTGTGTTCAGCAATGTCTAATACATGTGAAAAACAAAAACAAAAACAAAAAAAAAAACCAACCAGCAACCAACGGCTTGAGCTGAACAGCATTCTGTGCATTCTACTTGTAGACGGGCTCAGGTGCCGGTTGCTGCGATGGCTGACTTGTGGGACCCCTGCTCTCTTTTCTAGGGGTGTCTCCCTCTTGTGTTGATGTTTGATATGAAGGAGGAAATTGAAGTCAGCCCTCAGTTCATGGCGCAGCTGATGGAGCAGCTAGATGTGTTCATCAGCATTAAACCAAAGCCCAAACAGCCAAGCAAGGTGGGTTCAGCCTCTGCACACAGTGAAACGTGTGTGATACCGTTCTCTATTTGCTTTGGTTGTTTGTTTACACGGGACTAATTTCTAACATGCGTGAGAGTATCTGTTTGCTGATAAAAGTATAATCATTTGTAACTGTGTCCTCCTCTATCTGTCATTCATTTTTTTTCATATGGCTATGTTTTTTTTGGGGGGGGGGTCATTTTCAGTAACCACTAGCTTTCTATAAAAACATGAGAAAGAAAGGTCTATTTTTTCTTACTTTGTAACAAGAAATCAACCAACCCAGCCAATAAATAGGCTAATGAAATGAGCAGACTGTTCCAAAAATAAAAAAAGATGTACACAGGGCTAGCAAATATAAAAATGCTCAGCCTCACTAGCCATGGGAGAAATGCAAATTTAAACTCCATGAAGGTCCCATCTCACCCCTGTCAGAGCAGCATTCAGCCAGAAAATGGGTAACGGCAAGTACTGGCGAGGAAGCGGACAGAAGGGTTCACTTACTTAGACACTGATGGTGGGAGAGTAAACTAGTCTAGCCGCTATGGAACTCAATACTGAAGCTTGCCAGAAAGTCAAAGTAGACCTACCATATGAGTGAGCTATCCCGCTCCTGGGCGTTTATTTTTTAGTAGGACTCTTAATTTGCAATCAGCTGACTACCGCCTTTACCTGATTGCTCGTGCAATCGCTAAGGCGACTTGTATGTTACATGTTTGTGTGTGTACACATTCAAGTCAGTTCGTGGAACATTTCCCGAACTTGCTATCTGCCAGCCACTGGGCTAGCCGAGCAGAGCAGTTGACTTTTCTGTTCTGTTCTTCTCTTTAATAAAGGCCAGAAGTGATGAAATCGCTTAGTCCAGTGTCGTCTGGTAATTACATGGACGGCAGGTGCCCAGTGGGAGAGATCTGATATTAAGTGCCCCCGAGAGGGCGAGGAGAGAGGGGCGTTCCTACGTCGATACTGTGAGAGTTGATGCGGCCCCTTTGCCGAGCAACTCTGTGGTGGCACCGCCGGTTGTCGCCGGCAGCCAATGTGCTGCTACTGTGCGGGCCGGGCAGGGACGGCAGGGTAAAAACTCCCAGACTGGAGCAGCATGCTAGGTGGCAGTGTTCCCATGCCTAGATTTTTCGAGCCACGAAGCTTCGGCACACCCCAAATTCACCACGAGGAAGGAAAGTACGATCAGGATGTAATCTCAGGGGATGTGAGCAAAAGCCATAAACAAAGCGTATCAACCCCGCTCTTAGTGTTGAAAAACTCAGAAGATTTTAAATTTTATAAACTTAACATTTATTAACTGTGATATTACTTATAAACCATAATTGTGGGAAGTCTGGAAGTTTGTGGAATGTTTTGAAGAGAAAATCCAAACAGCTGAGCTTTTCTAACTTTTTTTTTTCTAAATGCTAGTTTTTATTGCCTTATAAACTAGTCTAGTCAAATAGTAATTTGACACTATACAGTTTGACGTTGCAGCAATGGAGACTCATTGCTTTAGCGCACTGTAGTGTGCCATCGGGTGAAAGCAAAGCAGTAAACATCTCGTTCTGTCTGCGCTGCTGTCACAGAGCCACAGAGCAGGCAGCCATGGATAAGAAAGTCTGTACTGAAGAGGCCAGCAAGCAAAAGATTCAGGCAGATTAGATTAGGTAGATTTAGTGCTACCAGCTTAGGTCCAGGGTTCCCATTCGTAGGTGATCTCACATAGAAAGGCAAACTCTCTGTCTGTCTGTCTGTCTGTCTGTGTTTCCCTGCCCTTTCCTCTCCTCCTCCCTCCTCTTTCTAATTTGATTCATTTTTGTGTGTATGCATGTGTGTGTGTGTGTGAGTGTGCACGTGCATGCCTGTGTGTGGATGTGTGTGTGTGTGTGTGCATGTTCTCATGTATGTGTGTGGATGTTTGCGTGTATGGATGTGTGCACGCAAGTGCATGTGTGTGGAGTGAATGTGTGCGCATGTTCATGCATGTATATGGGTATGTGCATGCCAAGTGCATATATGTGGAGATGTGTGTGTGTGTGTGTGTGTGTGTGTGTGTGTGTGTGCATGCATGCGCGCACACACAAGCATCCACATTGACATGTGGAAGCCACAGAAGGCTGTGCAGATGGTCTTGTCTTCTTTTTCTACCACATGGATTCTGGGGTCAGAGAGTCCTAACCTACTAAGGCAGATAAATCTATTGCACTTTGCATCTTAAAATTTCTAAACCATAGATGTCATCTTGTCTGTCAGATGGTTTATGTGTGTCTGTTTCCCAAATGATTCCGACAGGAGTAAATGCCATCTTTCCTGTCCAGCTGGAAGAAACAACCGTACCTTCTTTCAGGGAAAACCTTAAAAGAAAAACTACCTCAGATTCTGGGGAGTGAGACTGAGTGAGTTTAGAGTTTGAGAACAGGCCCATTGGTTTTTAGACATTGTGAAGCCTCCTGCTTGACTAACCTCACAACAACCACCATCATTATCAGACTCAGACAAAGGATGTCCATACAAAGACAGAAGCAAAAGATTTCCAAGGGCTCAGGAGACAATGAGCACATGTCAGGCCAAAACACACTGTCCCCAATGGCTGAATTCTAACTAACATACATACATATATGTATATTTGTACATATACATATATGTGCTTAGAAATTTAGTAAATTATGTAGTTCTATTTATATACAATATATACATACAGGTAGTAAGGAAGATTTGTATATATATATTATATTATACATCATATTTGCCATAGATGTCAATGAGGGTATCAATGAGGGTTGGTAGTATACACACACACACACACACACACACACACACACACACATACATATATGTACACACTATATATACACACTGTATAGACAATATGTACATATATATGTATACAAGATTTGCCATAGATGTTGCCTTACTGAGGGTTGGTGATATATGCATGCGCGCACACACCTACACACATGTATATACGCTATGTACATATATGTATATATACAAGATTTGCTGTAGATGCAGTCTCAATGAGGGTCGGTGGTATAGACACAGATACACACACAGATATGCACATACTTTATATACATACTATATATGCAATACACACACACACACACACACACACACACGATTTGCTGTAGGTGCCGTTTCACTGAGGGTGTGCGGTGCCTGGAGGTGTGCTAGCTAACCATTAGACCACAGGTGACTGTTACTATGCAATCCGTGTGCAGTGATGGGTTTGATTTGGCTTCTGCAGGTAACCGGGGGTCAGAGAGGTCTTCAGTATGAAGTCCAACGGCTGCATAGTGGGACTGGGCCCTGACACCAAGAATTTGCTAGATTTCTAAGCCCCTCTGGATAGGAATCTGCACCCTAAAAGGTGGGGGTGGGAACTGGGACCTGCGTGCCACCCTCAAAGGTGCACACACACGCAGTGGGTGGGAACTAACGTTTTGCAGGTTTCCCAGGAGTGTCAGAAGCCAAGGCTGATTGAAGATGGTGTTCAACCCTCCTGCAGACTCCTCATTTGCATTTTCATTACCCTCTCCATTCATTGTATACTACCCCAGTGTCACCTTTTTTTCCCCCCATTATGTGTTTTCATAGTCTGTGATTGTGAAAAGTGTTGAGCGAAATGCCTTAAATATGTATGAAGCAAGGAAATGTCTCCTCGGACTTGAAAGCAGTGGGGTTTCCATAGCAACCAGTCTATCCCCAGCATCGTGCCCTGCCGGCCTGGCATGTCCCAGCCTGGATATCTTAGCTTCGGCAGGCCTTGGACTCACTGGACTAGGTATAAAGTTTATTATTACCACTGGGGAAATGCTTTATATGGTTCCCTTTCTCTCTCCCATTGTGCTATGTCTAAATGCTGTTTTCTTCTTTTGAGCCCCAAGGCGGGGTGAAGAGCAACAGGCTCTGCCTCATCCAGTCTGATTTATTGTTGTTGTTGTTGTTGTTAGGCTCTGTGGATTTGGGTTGCCCGGATTCTTCCTACGTTGGCATAAATAATCACAGCCCTATACTGCTTTTCTTTTCAGTGGCTGTGTTTGTTCTTCTAAATTAAGGATGCCATCAAGATTGAAGGGCGAGGGCTGGCTGTGTGATGTATGTGCTTATCTTGCTTTTGCCGTACTGCCCTCCCTCCCTGGAGATAAAGATTATCCAGTTTGTTCCAAAAAGTAATTGCAGCTCTGGAGGGCAGCTGGAGAAGGGGAGGGGAGAGGCCCTGAACTCACCCCAGGGGCTAGGTCTGATAAGCCAGGGGCCAGTAAGGAGAGCAAGCACACATAGCTCATACCACAAAGAGAGCTTAGATTGACAGCGAAGCACACTGAGTCCTTGCTGGCCCTGACACAGTGTCCTCATCTAGGGGCTACTATCTTCCTACAGGATGACTAGGTAGTCTCTTACTCTTAGGCCAGCCAGGCTCACCATTTTCCTCATTGTTTGCCAGATGACCTCATATAAAAAAGCAAGTGCACTAGACCAGCAAATCTCTCTCTCTCTCTCTGCTTTGAAATATACAGTATGATGGGCTGAGTTATAGCTCAGTGGTAGAATGCACACACGAGGATATAGGTTCAGTCCCTGACACTGAAGGGAGTCATGTGTGTGTGACTTGTTTGGGCTCCATATCGAGGTACTTGAAAAATATTACAGTAATGCAGGTTCTTCATCAATGACACAGCAATGCTGTGGACCAGGACATGCCAGTGGACTTAGAACAGCAGCTCTCAACCTGTGGGTTGCAGCCCATTTGGGGGCGAAACGGCCCTTTCACGGGGGTCGCACATCAGATATCCTGCATATCGGATATTTACATTAAGATACATAACAATAGCAAAATTACAGTTATGAAGTAACAACAAAATAATTTTAGGGCTGGGGGTCACCAAGGGATGAGGAACTGTTCAGAGGATTTTGGCATCAGGAAGATGGGGAGCCAACTTCATTGTGTGCTAGTGGAGAAAGTGGTCGGAGAGGCAGAGTTCCTGAGTGGAGGAGAGTGTTTCTTGGCCATCCATTTCCTACAACACTGATGCCTGGGCACTTCCAGAAACACATAGAAATGAACCTTTTCAAGAGATTCCAAATCCCCAAAGGAGAATCTCGTTAGTTACAGCCGGCACGGACGCTTGAGACAAAAATCAGAGCTGACACCTTTTCTAGGCAAGTTTTAGTGATTGGATTGGAGCCCAAAGAAGTCAGTGTGCATTCAGACAAGCAAAGAACCATCTGGCCCTGTATCCTCTCAATACCAGACAGCCAGTCTACCACAGGAAAGGCATCCTGGGCACTGCCAGGTGGGAGCGCTTGGAAGGGGGGAAGAAGGGAAGCTGATAACAAGCGAGCCACTTAGAAAGAACACAACAACAACACATGGGCTTCCGCTTGAGCAGGCGTTTGTCCATCCAGGCTTGTCAGCCGGCTTGTGTCTGGACTGCACCTGGCTGCTGCGCTAGTTTGAACGCATCTGTCTTCCCTTTCTTATGGCATCTGTTGTCTGTCTGAGGGTAAGCAACTTCCTATGTTGGCCTCATGAAAAGAGACCTTTCAGAGGAATATCTGGAATCACATTTTTTTTGAAAGAAAACCTGTCACCCATATTTGACAGATTAGAAAGCGTCAGATTTTATTGGTACTCGCTTCAAAAGACAACGTGAACACTGACCCTATTTGCAACTCTTGAATTTTGGTGTACTGACTTGAGTCTCATTCCTTTCCAGGTCTGCTGGGGCCCACCACCTTGTCGCTCAACACTTCAACCACCCCAAACTCACTCCTGAACGCTCTCAACAGTTCAGTCAGTCCTTTGCAAAGTTCAAGTTCTGGTACCCCGAGCCCGACATTGTGGGCCCCCCCAATCGCTAACACTGCAAGTGCCACAGGTGAGTTAGATGTACTTAAGAGGCGTGCATTCACAGACAGTGCCATCCTCCCCCCTTTCAGTGGACTTCACACAGGATTCCGTTTTTCCATGAAAATCACTGTTCAAAGAAAGCATCCTCTAGACCAAAGGAATTCTCCCGCTGTGTAAACTAGTTAGAATGAAGCTCCGGAGAAGCTTTTCATGCAAACAGCCCATCATCTGCACAGGCGATAAACAGGTTAGCAAAAGCAGCTCCGGGAAAAATGGCCAAGGCACAGGATACAAACTGAGTACCAGGGACACAGCTCTGCCTGGAGGAGCTATTTCTTAGTCAGTGCCAGGGGCTCGGTCTCCCTCCTTTCCTCAACTGTGTTGTGAGGGGCACATTCTTGAGGAGACTCTGCCCTTAAAATAATTTCATTTCATCACCATGTCACAAAGCACAAAACAGTAGCTTTATTATTATTTTATTTTTATATTTTTTTTTATTAATTACACTTTATTCACTTTGTATTCCCCCATAAGCCCCTCCCTCCTCCCCTCCCTATTATTTTTTAACACAAAATGAATCACTCAGTAGGTTGGTATCCTGGTTAGTGCATTGCAGATCTAAAAGGTATACAAAATGTAAACCTTTTCTGGGCTGTTCTTAGGAAGAGTTTCTCTACAGGAACTCTTTATTTTTAAAGCCACAAGAGAACGTGCTTTGGATGGAAGTACTTGACAATGGATAGTATCGGGATAGTATCAGAAGTGCTTATCTGATTTTAACATTGTTTTATTTAAGAAAAGCATTTTAATGTGAGTGTGTGTGTGTGCATGCACGTGCATGCACAGACATGCTAAGGCACACATGTGGAGGTCAAAGGACAACTTGCAGTAAGTAGTTCAGCTCTCTCCTTCCAGGATATGGGTCCGAGGTATCAAAACCAGCCCACTGGGTATGGAAGCATGGGCCCCTCCCCACTCCCCAGAGGCTAGCTCACAAGCCTCCATTTATGATTTTCATAGCAATACTGAGTCCATTTACAGAGGTGCTAAGCTATTCTGAATCCACAGGGGGGAAAGTCTCTTACTGTCCTCAGATGTCACGGTTGCTTCCCGGTTGTCCCCTGTCTGACACCGTCTGTCTCCCTGACCCTCACAGGCTTCTCTGCTATGCCGCACCTTGTGATCCCATCGACAGCCCAGGCCACCCTAACTAATATCTTGCTGTCTGGAGCGCCCGCCTACGGGCACACAGCCCCGTCTCCCCCTCCTGGCTTGACTCCTGTTGATGTCCATCTCAACAGCATGCAGACGGAAGGCAAAAACATCTCCGCTTCCATGAACGGACATGTGCAGGTACGGCCTCGTGTGTGTGTGTGTGTGTGTGTGTGTGTGTGTGTGTGTGTGTGTGTGTTGTTTGTTTGTTGGTGGGAGGGCATAGTCTGCTCTTTTAGTGAGAGAGAAACTACTTGAAACCTGTTTTGTTGTTCGCTGAGGTTATTTTCCAATTATATTTTTCTTTTGTTTATAATTTCAGCCCCCAAACATGAAATACGGTACACTGTCCACTTCATCGCTTGGAGAAAAAGTGCTGAGTGCAAATCACGGTGATTCATCCATGCAGACAGCTGGGCCGGAACAGGCTTCTCCAAAGTCAAGCTCTGTGGAAGGCAAGGCGTTGTAATTTTCCTCCTCAGGCTGGCTGAGAGCTTGGATAGAGTCCAGCCCCTCTGGGGTGGTGTGCGGGGGGAGGCGGGGTGGGGAGCAGGGGGCTGCAGAGATTCTGAGTTGGTTTCCACTCACCAGTGCTGACTCGGCCTGCCTCAGCTAGGCAGGGTCAGGGTCTTGTGTGACATTCCAAAGAACTTGGTGAAAGAGGAGCTGAAACATCCCACAGAGGTACCAACCACTGTCCCTGACAACCTTGAAGAGACATGATGGGACTGGTGGTGTTCATTGGAAGAGCCCATGCCTAGCATGTACAAGACCAATAGCACCAGGGAAGGGGAAAAAGGACTAAATTTGGAGCTGAGGATATAGCTCAGTGGTAGACAAGAGCCCTGCATAAACCTCAGTACTGTGAAAGGGAAACTCAAGAGGAAAAGGAAACCAAAAAACACAAGGGTGCCACTAATGTTCAGATGTAAATATGTATCCCGCAAGGGCCTCACTAATGTATGTAGTAATAGAATGTACGTAAATATACATCCCCCCAATCCAGTGCCAACAGTATTCAGGGAACACAGGGACCCCATATGTATGTACGTATGTAAATATATATCTCCCTATTCTAACCAGTATTCAGGAAACACCAGGGTCTTCCCTTGGGGTTGAGCTCTGGGGACAACCTGAGCTGGTTGAGGGGTGCCCTCTTTGCAGCTGAGAGCCTTGTAGGGACTCTGTAAAGTGGGGTCTCCACAGGCTTTTTCACAGGAATGTTTACATTCCCCCTCGCCCCACCTCCACAGGCTGCAATGATGCCTTTGTTGAGGTGGGCATGCCTCGAAGTCCTTCCCATTCCGGGAACGCTGGCGACTTGAAGCAGATGCTGGGTCCCTCCAAGGTCTCCTGTGCCAAGCGACAGACGGTCGAGCTGCTGCAGGGCACGAAGAACTCGCACCTGCAGTATGTATGCGCACCTTGCTGGAAGGAAATGATGCAAGGAGAACTGGTTGTGGGCTCAGTGGTTAAGACTGTCACTCAAGTCAGGCTGGAGCTCGTCGTGGGCGTTTCCATTCCCTTTCATAATTCTCTTTTAAAAACGGAAGGTGTAATTTCTATCCTCACCCTTACCCCTCTCTGCAGTCTTCCTCGTCTTAGTTGTTGGGTTTCTATTCGCATTCTTCAAACAATCCCTATTGCTCCGAAACTAATAAAACATTCTGAATGCTATTCAGCAGTAAGTAGGGGCAAGTTTTAGCCTCTGACTTCTGCGCTAGACATTTTCCCAGCAGTGAACCCACCTTCGCTGGTGTGGAGGTCGCGTCTTAAGCTGCAGCTTCCTTCTCTCCAATGCAGGGAACTGAAGCCTTTTAAGCTTTTTGATCAGCCCTTGAGTTTGGTCAGCTAGAACTCTCCCATGCCCAGCAGCTGTCATTGCGCCATCCCTAGACTGCCTTCTAGTCTCCATTTTCTGTCCTCGTAGAGCGGAAAGGGTCTTCCACCTGCCCGACTGCTTGATTTCCTCTTCTGTCTTCGTAGTTCCTTGGCTGTGTTTAAGGATCGTCTTCATGCAAAGATTAACATGTATATCCTTACTTCCTCCGTTTCTTACTAAAGCAACTTTATTCTACCCAGTTCTGCTTTACCTGTTTGTCCTTTCCCCAGAAGGCCATTCTTCAGTGTGTGTTCCGGAAGTGCCCTGCTTCCTCCGGTCTCTTGAATCCTTTAAAGCATATTCCCTTCCCTCTGTTCTCAGTGCCTTTCAGCCTTTTCCTTTCCTTCCCCCTGGATGGTTGGTCTCCAGTATTTTCTCCTTGCCACGTTCTCCTTCCAGGGTGGCCTGCCCTTTACTTAGCTCTAGCGACTCTCTTTAAAGCTGTACCGATCCCATCACACTGTGGCTTAAACAGTCCCAGTGATTCAATCCTGGGTTCCTTCCCTTTCACTCTGCCCCCGAGTTGCTGCTCTCTCAGCCTTTGGCCCAAGTGCACTTGAAAAGCACCTGCATTCCCAGATCATCTGTCTTCTAGAAGAACCTCCGCCAGCATCTGTCAGGGCAATGCCTATTGCTCATGTCTTGTCCTCTGACACGAGAACTGAATAGGTGGTTGACTGTGATTTGAACAGATCAGGACATTTTTTGACTTGAGGGGCATCCTGATACAACATGGGCTCTCACTCCGGTATACAGCCCATTATGAGAATCACATGACACTCGGCTCATTCCCTAAACAAGCTTCGGAGACTCTGTCTTATTTCCCTGCTACTTTTCCCCACAAGCAGAATCACACGCCCTGTACCACGCCGTCTACCTCCAGGCTTACTCAGGCTATGCTCAAATTTTGCATGAATCCCTGGTGTCTGGTTGGTGCATAAATACCAGAAATCTTTCCATATGCCACAAGCGGGATACCGTATGTACTGCCTGTAATGCGGGTGCTTAGATATTGCAGAAACAGTTTTGACCTATGGTTTGAGACCCAGTCACCCTAGAGCGAGTGACCTTGCTTAAGGTCCTTTCTCAGAGTCCCCAGTGGGATGACAGCAGCGCTCTGTCTCAGTGTGGCTGCGTTATGGTCTGAGGATTCAACGAGACGACACGTGTGAGCAGGAGACGGCGGAAGCACACACATGCAATGAGCATGCGCATGTGCGGGAAGCTTGCAGCATGCCCATATGGCAGCTGGAGCAGTGAATTGCAACTCTCTCTCGCAGCAGCACTGACAGATTGCTCTCAGACCCTGAGCTGAGCGCCACAGAAAGTCCTCGCGCTGACAAGAAGGCTCCAGGGAGCGAGCGCGCAGCGGAGCGGGCAGCGGCTGCCCAGCAGACGGAAAGGGCCCGCCTGGCCTCGCAGCCACCGTATGTCCACATGCAGGTAATGCAGGTACAACAGCGGTCATCGGAGGGCAGGGTGCAGGGGCCCGGCATGGAGACAGCAGGGAGTGATCAGGAGGTCTGCAGAAGTTAGCCTGTCTGCCTGTTCCCGTGGACCCTGGTCAATGTGAAACTCAGATGGAGGAGCAGGAGTTCGGATTGGTTTTGCAATGAACTTTAAGAAGCAAGTGCAGCCTTTAGATGAAGTAAAAGTGATTCTTTATACTGGTAAAATAATAATAATAATAATAATAATAATAATAATAATAATAATAATGATTTGTGTTACTGCATCTTAAGCAAACGGTGATGAACAGTCACCTGAAGTCATAGAGATGTGTAAGAGATGGTATTTCTCTTGGATAGGCAGATCAAATGGTCTGTTGTAGTCTTGGAAATAGAAAACCTGGTGCTGTTTCAGAAACGAGTGAACGTGGTGTTTGAGTTCTGTGGGAGACGATGCTGACATCCATGTGGTCTGAACAACGAACCATGAGGTTCACAATGGCTTCAGACAGCTCTCTCAGCCGGCCTTGGCCTCTCACATTTTCTAAGTGTGACTCAGAGCTGCTTGCCAAACAGGAGATTCAGCAGATTCATATAGATCAGGTGTGAGAGGTGACAGTCCAGTGCTTTTAGGGGTTACACACACAAACATTTTCCTTTCTGCACCAGTATTATTTGGAAGGAGTGTTGGTGAACTTTTAAAAAACTCTTTTGTTCACATTTCTTTTATCTTTTTCTCCCTACTGCACCCAAATCCCTTCCAACACGCCAACTAACACCAGGTAGGAGAGAGAAAGGGTTAGTGGGAAAGGGGCCATAGTTCTTTCTTAGCTGCTTCCTGCTGCTTAGGGTCGTGGGGTTCCTTGGAGCCAGTCCAATCCTCGTTTCAGGAGATCTCCAACTTCTTGTCTTCACAACAGCAATAAGGAGCAGAAATAGGGGAAGCAGGAGCAGCCTTGTTCTTCCTCTCTGGGCTCTGGCATTTATTCTCTCTCCAGAGTTTTCAGATTTAAGTTATCTGTAGCTGGCAAAGATCTCCTCTTAGAGCCAGCATGAGGCAAATAGTCTGCTGCTATGGACCATCTGAATCAGTTCCACATCCCACACCTGGGAACAAACCAAACCAAAACATATTTATATCCACAACAAAGGAGCATCTACCTTGTGATGAATTATCTCTTCCTTCATCCCTGCCACCTCTAAAATCTTCACAAAACCCTAGAAACAAAAACAAACAAACAAATACATACCTGCTACATTAAGTTAATTCATGGAAATAAGCAACACAACTTTCATTCCAGTATGAAGTACAATTCAGTCCTCCAGATTGTTTTTATTTTTAAATCCTTTGTGTTTTTACATTTTCATGAATCTTGAGGTAGATAGATAGAATCCATAGCTTTCATAATGCATCAGTGTTCAAAACAAACAAATAAAAACCAAGTTCCTGTCTGACCTCTGTGAGGAGTTTGTGCCATCTACCTGGTTGCCATCTTCTTTCCTATCAGGATTGGGTCCCCATGCACAAGTTCCATGGTCCTTTCATGTAGATTTGATGTCAGTGTTCTCACTGGTGACTCTAACTAGATATGTTTATGCCATTAGTGGAAATCTGGCTCCAAAATCACCAGGAGATCCATGAGAGTCACTAGTGAGCTTTGTTGTGAGACACACTGAAGAGCTACCTCCATCTAGGGCTGGAGACAGTGCCCAACTCTTCATCACCCTAAGGCGGTGGCCTCTCTAGCACTCTTTTCACACCTCTCTCTTCCTCAGTGCTCCAGAGACTGTTGGCTGTTTAGGCTCCAGATGCGATCTGACTTGTTGTAGTCTTCACAGAGCTCAGCGCTTTCCTTTAAGAAGTAGTTCCTCAGTTTTCCCCAAACTTTGCCCCTAAGAATTAGAGTTCATCTTAACATCCAGTGCAATTTTAAGTTGCCCCCGCCAAAAGTCATAAAATGGTATCATCTAAAAACCAGGATCTCCGAGGTACCACCATATTTGTAGAGCTGTTGCGTGTGCTGGGCTGCTGCTGTTTATCATCTGGCCCAAGGTTATTCTTAGCTCCTCGCACCCTCTTCAGTGTTCCGTGCCAGACTCTAGTTTCCGGGGAATGTTATATGTACCGGTACAATCTTCCTGGGAGAAGAGCCAAGGAGCACTTGCCAGCAGGTTCTTGATCTTTGTGGTAGGTCTTTAAATCAAGTCTTATCTGTTCTTTAGACTGGAGAGGTGAGAACAGGTTAGCATCTGGGATGTAGCCAGGCAGACATGCGTTTCTTCAGAAAAGCCTATCCTGGTTTCTACATAGTTAGCTGTTCAGTGTTACTGGTATGGATGTGTGGTCCTCTTGTCTGTGCAATACCAGGGCATCAAGGTTTAATCCTATTAGATCATTAGTGTCCAAAGCTAGATCATTGCAGTTACCTAACTTCAAAGGCGTTACCACTGTGGTTGACAACTTCTTATGTTGTCTTGGTGGGATTCCAGTTTCCATCTTATTTACCTGCCAGAAGAAGGATTTGGACACAGGAGGAGAGGCCACAGATGCTCCAGAGCATTTTGTGACATCTTTGGTGCTTATGCAACTCTTAGGCTCTTTACTTCACATTTGCATACAGTAGTCCCGATGTGGAAGTCACTCTTACTAAAAGAGAATTTAGTTTCTCAGGGAAAAGCCTAACTCTTGTCACTGACTGCAAGTTAGATAAAATTAGTAGATCGTTCCAATTCGTTTTTAAAGGTGCTTTTACATTAATCACGCACTGTACACTCGTGCGGAGCTTAGCTGATGCTTAGAGCAGAGTATTGGTAGGGTGCCTGGGAAAATGGTTACACAGCCATTTTCTCTGTGTTTCCTTCTCAGGCATTTGACTACGAGCAGAAGAAACTGTTAGCCACCAAAGGTAAGTGGCGCACTGGTACTTCCCACCTTCCTCATTCAGGACATCTTTGCTTTCAAGCGCTCCCGGTGACTCCAAAACCTGGACGCTTAAGAAAAGAAACTCAAAATATTGGAGTTCATAATGGATGGATGGATTCTGTCGAAATAAAATGTATTTTGTGAAATACGTGAGCGTAATTAAGGGGTCCCCCACATTTACTTTTTATTGGATAAAATGTTTTATTCTTCACTATTTCATGTTAAGAAATAACACTGAGCCATAACTTTTTCCTATGTTGAAGAAACCCTGCTCACCATCAGTACTGTTTTTTTGTTTGTTTGTTTTTTAATTTAAGAATTGCATTGAGCACACATCAAGAGTCTGTTTTATATTCTGTTTTCCAAAGCGATGTTAAAGAAGCCAGTGGTGACTGAGGTCAGAACTCCTACAAATACCTGGAGTGGCCTGGGGTTCTCAAAGTCCATGCCGGCAGAAACCATCAAGGAGCTGAGAAGAGCGAATCATGTGTCCTATAAGCCCACAATGACGACCGCCTACGAGGTGCGGAATTATCCTCCTGCCCATCCTTTCCCAGAAAAACAGCTAGCTCCCTCCTGTCCCTGGCTCTTTATGGTCATCAGGACAGAGTGGCTTGGCTCCCTTTCTGTCTTTGTGCACTTGGGTAAAACGGATGCTATCTTACACATGAGACTTTGTTCTCCTCTCCAAGTTGTTAATCTATACATGCATGCTACGGAAATTTAAATTTGGGAGTAGATCTTTGTCGGATGAAGGGTCTCCTAAATGATGGAGTAGGTCTAAGATCAAGCAAAGGGCAGCTGCAGTGTTTCATAAAAGCTCACAAAGAGTCCCTTTGTCAGAGAGTGTCACTATCAAGCCACCGTCGGGGAAAGGACAAATGTTCAACAAAAGCAGAATTTCAAATCTGAGTTAACTTCAGTATGTTGAGATGTGCCAGGAGCGCAGCAGGAAGCCTCTCCAGCAACAGTTCCAACAGTCTTATGTATCCCAGATGTTGGAGGCGCAGCTCCACCACGAGGCGTTCTTCTTGCATGTGGAGGAGGAAGGTCCCCAGAACTCCATCCCCCTGGCCAGGCTTCACATGACTCTGAGCAGACCCTGTCCATCTGAGTGTCAGATTTTGTTTGGCCTTGGGGGTGTGAGGTCTGGTTCCAGCCAGCTTGCGCACAAACAGGATGGGAGACTGCCGTCTCTGGGTGGGTGGGAATGATTAAACCAGCACCATCAGGCTCCCTCAGCCCTGCTGGCTGTAAGTGTTAAGGCCAGCGAGGGTTTCAGAATCGTTAGTCTAATAGTAAGTAGCATTTGTAGATGGAGTTCCTCTTCCCTGTCGTTTTCTTTGTAATAAAATGTTTGATGGGTGCAGGCAAAAAGCAATACTTTTGAATTTTTTCTTTATCTCTCTTGAGCAAGGGAAAAAGAAAGCACTATTGAATAGTCCCTGTGAATTCCATTGTCAGGGTTACAGTAGCCACCTGGCAGGCTATATTTAAGATAAAAGTAACCTTCAGCAGCAGGAACCCAGGGACCATTATGCAGCATTTTCAGGCTGTAGGTGACCACTCTCCCTCAGGCCTCTCAGCTCCAGAGAGCTGAGAGGAAATAGCATTGTCTTTTGTTAGCAGAAGAATTAAGCAAAGGCTGAGATGTGGTCTGCCCCCTAGCCTCTGCTTTTAGCTGAGTAAAGTGTGGACATGTTGACAGCCATTCTGTAGTTTCTGAAATTAAACATGTAGCTTTGGAAACGCCCTTCAGTTCCCGCTCTGAGTCCGACACTATAGCAAGTTGGAAATGGTGCCTAACCCGGAGGTCAGGTACAGAGCTGCTGGGGCCCCCACAAACCCTACCGGTCCCATGGGTAGATTAGGTGGGCCTTTATTAGTCTCATCAGCTTGCATTTTCTTTGGGGTGGTACTGTTGGGTACCTAGTAAACTAGGAAGCTGCTGTCAGCTTTGCCGGAGAACTGTCTATAGGAAAACCAAGGCTTCCGAAGGATGAGAATTTCATCCTCATTGGAGGAAGTGACTGCATACTCGAGCTATTTATGGTTTTTATATCCAAAGTAATACTTTCAGAGTGTTATGTGGACACATAACGTAGAAGTGATAATTGTTTTTAAATTGGATTCACTTAGTTTTTCGTGGTTTATGTGTCACATTTTCATGTGTAAATTTGTACAATCCCCACAAACTTCTAGTGGGAAAAGAGGCTCCCAGAATGGATATGTCTTCTACATGACACAGGCCAGTAAATGTGAGGAAAAAGACCCGAGTTCATTTTACAGAACGTTCTAGAACCTCTCCTTAATGATTGAACTGAAGGAGTGCATAGGAAAAGATAATGTGCAATTAATGTAGAGCTGCATGACATGGATGGGAACACACACACATACACACCCACATACACACACACACAGAGAAGAGAGAATGAGAATTTTTAATCACTTGGAAGAACCACCTTTTTGTCAAGTTCTTCAAGATCTCATACAGTCATAGGACAGAGCAGCTTGGGATGTGTGCTTTCGATATGAGTCATGGTTGATGACAATGTCCCAAGGAAACATTGCTCTAAGGGGCGTTTAGTACTGAAATACTAAGGAAGGTTTTGGCCAAAACAAGCATGGGACCCTGAAATGTCCTCCACTCCTGCTCTTACCCAGGTCAGGCAGACAGTGTTCTGGGGATGGAAATGTACAGTGCCTCTGTCTAGTAGCTGACCCTCTCTGGAGTCTTTGTTGATCTGGCTGGTTTGGGCTAGCCTGCTCTACTTCCCTGACTGAAGTCAATCAGTCCACTCATGCTGGAATGTGGGGGCAGGCAGTGATCATGAGACTGGAGCCTGGGGAAGCTCCACATCATCTGCTTCTTTCTGTTGCCCCTTTGAATGCTGGGAAAGATAGACTCTGGCTTTCCTTAGCCATGGTGCTCTGTACTTGCCTTGGGATGAGGCCTTTCTTCATGAAGAGGATCCGATTGCAGCATTACTGGATTTTCTGTGGCAGCGGCTCTCCTTGGTCAGGCAAGCTTCTACTTTTCTCTGTAATAGCTCGGAAGGATTGAAAAACAGGAAGGAGTGAGACTGGCTTCCGTGGATCAAGGATGTGCAGAAGGATCTAAGAAATGTTACAGGACAGTTCCTACTGAGAAAGTAAGAGAGAGAGAAGGATGGGAGATAGGTAGATAGATAGACAGACTAACAGTATGTCTAGGGGTCCACTCTCATGTTTAAATTGTAGGCTGACTAGAAATGTCCTCAGCTTCCTTGTTTTTACTCTTCTAATAAAGGAAAGGCAGACTGCAGCCACATGAGCTGTAGCAGCCCTGGCTGCCTTTGTCCTGGTGGCCAAGAACTACCCAGCCCATGTGCCAGGTGCCTCAGCTTCCTGCTCTAGGAAGCTTGCTTGGCACAAGAATTAGATACTTTGAGCTCTGTACTCTGTATTATTGAAAAGCTGAGTTGAGCAATTTTTCAAGTGTTTGGACAACTAAATAATTACCCTGTCCTCCCAAAAAGTTCTTTAGATAAGAGGCAGGCTCTTTCCACTTTTTTTTTCTTTCTTTCTGCTTGGTGTTATACTGGATCATAAAAAAAATAAAAGTCACTTTGAACTGAGCCACAAAGGCATTTTGGATTTTTTCCATTTTCTTTCTGCTGTCTCTTAAAAGCTTGGTAGCGTCGTCACATATTCTCTCAAACAAATGGAAGTATGTGTTGGGAACCACACATGATTTTGAACTTCCCCAACACTGAGCAAAGGAAAGGGTCTGGTTAATCTCACAAAGGTCGGTGTGGAGGTGAACTACCCAGTGGGCATTTTAGGTCTCTCAGTGGGACAGCAGGAATCGCCATCTCCAGAAGTCTGCCATTTGCCTGTTTCCTGGATCAGTCTGCCGGGCGAAGGGTGAAAGACACGCTGAAAGAGGTAGATGTCGAGCTGTAGGGCACTAGCCAGTCATGAGGACTGCAGCCCTTGCCAGAATCCAGCATGTTGTTGGCCCTTGCTACTCTGGGTTGAGCTTGGTCTAGGAGATGAAAGATATTTTCACTAGAAAAATTTAGCTTTTTTCCCCCCCTCTTGTCAGAGCCATAATTTCCTTGTGTGTATTGCCCTAAGCCAGCAAAGGCATCCCCCCCCGATACAGGAAAGGGAATCTTTGAGTGTGACTCAGCATCCCTGAGTCAGTCTTGGGGACCATATCTTTCACATTAGTGTGCTCCTTCAGGATAGTGCTGACTCTTGGTAAGAGGAAACCACATGAGTCAAAAAGCAGTGGGTAATCAAATTCCTAGTCCATCCTCAGCAGAGGCTGCTTGGCCTTAGGAACAGACGATAGGAGTGGTAGGAAATGCAGGTGACACGATAGGACCAGTCTTCGGGGGACGCTCTTGAGAAAGAGCATCGAATTCAGGGAGTAAATGGCACGGTCATCCTAGCATCAGACCTCCCTGGACAGGTCTCGGAGTAGAAGGTGGGTGGGCGATGGGGCATAGGAGACAAGGTTTGCGCAAGGCTGATCCTGGCATGCACTCAGTCCATGGTAAACTACAGGGGAGTCCTGGGAAATCGAGAGGAGGCACCTCTGGTTAAGCCTCTGGTTAAGCACAGCAGAAGTTCCAGCAGTTTTCTTGGAGGCATGGATTGTTTCTGATTGCCACTTTGAAATACCAGCCCCGTTTTATGTGCTGGATTACAGAGGGAGGCAGTTAGATTCACAGCAGAGTGGCCAAGTAGGTGGGGGAAGGGAGGCTCAGAGTGGCTGGTGGGAAGGGCCAATTTTTGAGGAAAGCACTCAGGTACTAACTATAGTAGGCACTAGACTTGGAGCTTTGGGACCCTGAAGTTCCACAGGGATCTCAGTCCAGAGGTAGAAACTGCCGGAGTCCCTTGCACACTAAGGTTTTACAGATGATTGAAGCCACGCAGTGACAAAGTACAGGTTAAAAAAGGGGGGGTCGGGGTGGAGGCTAAGATCAGAGAGCGTGCAGTTTAGGTTGGGAAAGGAGGATTTCATAGAGGACTGGGGTGACCTGTTATTTGGAAGTGTTTAAGGGGCACCCTCCTAGCTGGGAATGCGGGGCACAAGCCACAGTTTAGTGATTTACGGACACGCTCAGTAAAGATTCCCATGGAATTACCAATAAAAACAAATCTGCAGGTGAGAATACCGTAGGTGATAGCCTAGTACAAGGCCAGGGCGCCCATCACACGGTGGATATATAAGCAGAGAGAATCAGTGCAAATTCAGGCCGATTTTGAGTTGTTATAAATTATGATTATTATTTATTTATTTAAATTTGCAAGACTTGACAGTGCATTTTTCCGGCTAGCTGTAATTGGAGAAAGCGTGTTCTTGTTTGGGGGAGGATAGTGCTCTAGGGAAACGCCAGCCCTTGTCTCCCCACACTGGGTGTGAGGCTAGGAGCACTCCCCTCCCCTGCTCCGCTGCGTCCTTTTTGTGTGAAGTAAGGAAGAGAATCAGCTCTGTATTAGGGGTGTGCGCATGCGTGCTGGGGTGCGTGCGTGCGTGATGCATGCATGGGCGGCGGTTTCCCCAAACAGGGATGAACTCAACCATGACATTTGAGACTTGTAGAATTCTGTGGCGCCTGTATAATCCTCCCTCGGGGAGGAGCTTCCTTTCTGTCTTCGCTTGTCCTTGGGTACATTCCTGAGACGGAGTGTGCCCTGGTTGGGCGCAGATGAGAATTGCGATGGTATCACTTGCGGTCACCTCTCCGCCCACCGAGAGAAGTCCTCTTTGTTCAACTCTTCCTTCTGTGGCTTGGACTCTTTACAGGGCTCCTCTCTGTCCCTCTCGAGGTCCAGCAGTCGTGAGCACCTGGCAAGTGGAAGCGAATCGGACAACTGGAGAGACCGAAATGGAATAGGACCCATGGGGCACAGCGAATTCGCGGCACCGATTGGCAGCCCCAAGCGCAAACAGAACAAATCGAGTGAGCTTGATTTCTGTTCACACTTTCGGGCGTCAGCTTCCACACCTTTGCTTGGTGTAAGGCGTAGGCAGCTCGCTCCGGAGACGTGAAGTGCTTGGTCTGAGTCCTGTACAGCCTCTTCCCACAGTTTTCCCGGTCCTTCCCTCTCACTGCATTTTGTACACGGCGTATGCTCTAGCACTTGCCATCCCAGAATTCACCTACATGACCTACCCTGTAGAATGTGAGTTCTGCAAGTCGGTTAAGCCTAGTGAATGTTTATTGAGTGATGTTTGTGGAGTGAATAACAGAGGCACACACACACCTCCAGATAGCCAGGAAGAGACAGGAACCTGTGAAAGCAGCCCAACAGGATGTTGTCAAAGTGGCACACTGGACAACTGAAGAAAAACTAGGTGAAAATCTCTAATAGCTGTGGTTATGGTTATGGTTATGGCTAATCAAGGTGGCTGGGTTGTCGGGTGTCTCCAACTTGAAGACTGGTCATGCATTAACCAGCCCTCCTCCCTGATAGGTTATTTGTAGCTGGAGACTCCTGTCAGCTTCTGTCTGCTCTTCACACAGGTCTCAGGATGGGGGTGTTTGCCCTGTACCCCAGTATAAGTTGGCTTTGCCTTTCCTCCATCATATAGTCAGATACTTAAACTGATGGTACTAAGTTATTGGACTGAAAGTCAGGTTAAGATGAGCGGTGGAAAAGGAAAAATATAAAAGGAATGATAAAAGAATCCCAATAATCTAGCTTTCACCAGAAATTTTTAAGAATGGGAGTAGGGTTTAAAAGGAGGTACAGAAACTATCTATATAGGTAATACAAGCGTATCAGAGGGCCACACACAGTCATGGGCCACTGTAAGCATTTCCCACGGGGGTTTATTTTCAGACATCTATTTACATTTTTACTAGTATGTTTTACTCGGCCCAGATCTACAATATATGTTATACTGGTCTGACATTTTAATTCCTATTTGCCTCATCTCAAGTTCTCAGTGGCTTCCTGTGGCTACCAAATTAAAAGCATAGACTTAGCCACATTTTTTTTTTCTTTTTGGACCCTGGGTCTCAAAGTCTCTTCCTTCTCTGGGTTTCCCTGTTTATACCGGTAGCTCCCCTTTGCTCTCCTGGAAGGTAGCTTTATCATTTGGACAGCAATTTACAGTCAACTGTAGTCAGCTTATAGTCACTTAAGGCCAGTGGCCACTCTGAGGGGCCTCCCAGGACATGGCTTGTGGTGCCTTTGAAGTACCCTCGGGGGGCTTCTGTCTTACCATTAAAGGATGGCCCAAAGATGTTACTTTAGATGTTAGGTTTGGATTCCATCATGTTCTTCCCATAAGAAAATACTTGTCCTCAAAAGACAGAGATATGTCAATAAATGACTTGCCTTTGAGAGGTTGCAGAGAGCAGCTCAATTTGCATGTGCAAATGGGAGACAAAGGGAACAGTGACACCAGAAACCCATGCAAAGCACACACTGAGGGTTCACTGATACAGGGCCTGGAGTGGCCTGCCTGGGGGCCATCTTTCTTCTACTGTCTAGGAATCCCTCTTAGGGCCATATACTTGCTGTAGGTGGATGGGTCCTCCCCACACACCAGGAGGAGGCAGCATGGCTACCACACACCTCTGCCACCCTCTCAGAAGCAGTGTGCTTGCGAGTCTGGTGTTGTGCATGATATCGTTCTGTGGTCCTTCCCCTAGCCCAGGTTCCCAGACCGTAGACCTGTGAGATCATTTGCAGAGCCAAGACAGACTTCTGGATTGCTCTATCAGCATCTTCCCAGGAAACACATTCGCTCTGTCATAAATCAAATCCAGGTACCTCAGCACCAGCGTTGCAGATGGTACTCAATTCGGAAACAGCCAATGTGATGGATTTGATGCCCAGATGTAGTCCTCAAGGCAGTGGGATGTATGCTGTAGTGGTACATAATCCCTGTGAGTGAAGGAAATGCAGGTGTGTGTGTTGGACAGCCACCGTGCCGTCCAAAGGGAGTCTGGGCCGGTAACAACTTCCTGTGCCTTTACTGTGTCCCAGAGCTCTCTCCCAGCTCTTCATTTGATTCCCATCAAATCAACTGTAAAGAGCAAAGGCTCGGGGAAAACAGGACGCACGATGATTAACTGCAGAGGCACCGGCACTGGCTTTCTGCCTCCCGAGTGTAACCTGGGAATGGCAGGAGCCTCCTCCCGACAGCAGTAAGCAGCGTTGCCTTGGTGAAAAGCTGATCCTGACGGATTACCGTGCTTCCGCAGCCGGCGCTCTGCTCAGCCGCACAATGAAATCTGAAATACTCGGTGGTTAAGACTTTTAATGAAACCGTGTTCTCTGTGGCCTTGACTCCCTCTCCTTTGCCTTCCAGGAGAGCATTATCTCAGCAGCAGCAACTACATGGACTGTATCTCCTCGTTGACGGGAAGCAATGGCTGCAACCTGAACAGCTGCTTCAAAGGCTCCGACCTCCCTGAGCTGTTCAGCAAGCTGGGCCTGGGCAAATACACAGATGTCTTCCAGCAGCAAGAGGTCTGCCAGCCCGTGCCTTCCCAGGCATCTTTGTTTGGCTTGTGGGTGTGATGACCTCCAGAAGGGAGCCCCTCCTTGACCTGTGGTTATGCTTTCCCCGGGTGTGGAGGTCAAGTCTCAGCTCTGCTCTGGCTGCTGAGGAAAACTTCATCTCATTCGGTAGAGCACGGAAGAGCAGGGAGGTAGAAAGCGGGGTTTGCAGGGAAGCACCCCAATCCTCCTCCACCGTTTTAGCTGAGAGAGTGCACTGGGGTCATGGACGCAGGGAACCGGGGTCACCGCTCCCCAGAGGTCAGCATCCATTGTTCACATGTGCAGTCATAGGTGATGTGCTCCTATGACCACAGGGCACACTATCAACCTGCTACCACTGAGCAGATGGGATCTGAATTCACCGCTGTCACCTTTTTAGTCCTTCAGGCTCCTTTCAAAATAAGGGCCCTGCCCTTGAGCTGTTTTCTTTTTATTCCTTGTTGCTGTGGCCACAGGACACAGCTGTGCTATTATACAGATGTTTCTGTACCATTTTTGAGATAGTCTGTTGTGTTCATTGAACTGAGGACTTGATTCTCATGCAAGGTCTTACACAATGTGCTGGAAGATACCATCTTGTGTGCCCTTTGGTTTCTCCCTGTAACTAAAAGCTAACAAACATTCTTTCTGTTGGTGTCTTCCAATAATCGAAAGCTAACAAACATTCTTTCCCTTGGACAGATCCATATCCTTTTTTGCTTTTATCGGTTCACATATGGTATGATACTTGTGTTGTTTTGGTTTTGGCCATAGCTGCCAAGAGGCTCAGATCTAAGTTTCTTAGTGCTAGAAAGTTGCTGGTTTAGTCTGTCTCCTGCTAACAGTTGCTTTCAGTTCACCAATTTCTTTTTCTCTTTCCTTCTTTTTCTTCCTTTCTTCCTTTCTTCCTCTTTCTTTCTTTCTTTCTTTCTTTCTTTCCTTCCTTCCTTCCTTCCTTCCTTCCTTCCTTCCTTCCTTCCTTCCTTCCTTCCTTTTTTTGAGATTTTATTTACTGTATATGAGTGTTTTCCTGAACGTAGGTATGTCTGTGTGCCATGTAGGTGTAGTGCCTACGGAAAGCGTAGGAAATCAGCTATCCTAGAACTAGCTACAAACAGTTGTGAGCCCTCATGGGAGCTGGGAATTGAACCAAGGTCCTTTAGAAGAGCAACCAGTGCTCTTTACTGCTGAGCCATCTCTCTAGCCCCTACCACCTATTTCCTAATTTCTGGCCCTTAGGTTGGTACCACTACCACTAGCTTTAGCAAGGAGATAAAGTTAACACGTTGATATAATAATGAGTCGATTCCACCATGGTAAGGAGATGCATACTTAACCAATTGGCTATAGCTTGTTTCTCTTCTCCACAGATTGATCTTCAGACATTCCTCACGCTCACAGACCAGGATCTGAAGGAGCTGGGAATTACGACCTTTGGTGCCCGGAGGAAAATGCTGCTGGCAATCTCAGGTGAATATAAGTTGAACTCATATTTTAAACTCTGAAAACCCTTTGCTGGGGGTCTCAGCATGTGGAGCTGGTTCTGCCCATCAGCTACTCACTCTTCTGGTACCATGGTGGATATGATGCATGGGGGTCCTCCTGCCAACATTTGATCAATGCTGATAGCACCATACCATGTAATCAAGGCCCTGCCCAAAAGTCTGCCATGGAAATATTGTTCCCTATAATAGACCTCCTCAGAAAGATGTAGCTAAAATTGGCCCATGCAGAACATGAGGATGAGTGAGCAATTGAGTTCTTTTAGCAGTTGTGATAAACAGGTTGTGAACAACCATTCTTGACTGAATGCCATGTCCAAACTTGTATGACACCAAGGTCATCACACTGAGAGAGGTTTCTTGGTGGGATTATTAGACTTAATGCCTTTTGATTTTTCTAATGTTTTAGTGGAGTTTGAGTCACAGGCGGAAGAAAAATAGTATCTGTATCCCTGGTCTGCCTTCTTGCTGGTCTGCTGCATATTCCTCTAGTGGGTGCTCTGTACATACTCATGGGGTGCCATGAAGATGATAAGTCAGAGCAGTGCACACAGCTCAGTGCACCTCCAAAAATGTTTATAGAAAAGGGAGCAAGAAGTCTTTTCAGCAGTGTCCTTGAATGCCAAATCTATGTGTGCCCGCCTCTCGAAAGGACAGGGACACCAAATAAAGGCAGAAGCCAGGCTTTCTTTACTAAGGGACTGTGACTTTGCTGGCTGGGCCTGTGTGAGAAGGTGGGGTGGAGGTGGGGGTGGCATCCAGCTAGCGAAATCCTTTCCAGACAGCGCTCACTAATCAAATTAGAAAGTACAATTGAAAACCTCAGTGTTTGTCCATTTCAATTAGCAGATGCCATTACCCAACCCACATTCTCGTAATGCCTATGCATTAGACCCCTCCAAGGTAGTGTCTGAAGACATAAGCCTCAGGAGGCCACCTCCGCCGGTGGGCAGGGGTGTGCTCTGTATTAACAGTGTTCAGGTAGACGTGTAATTCCTGATTAGTCATGAGCTCATCACAGTATACAGTGGATTCAGGTAGGAGGCATCGGCCCTGCTGGGCCAGGTCATGGATTCTCGAGTTTGGGCGAGTTTCTGAATCTCTCTTGGTTTTGGCTTGTCATGAATGTAGACCGTGTTGGTGATTGTGTGGTTCACCTTCCATTTCTGAGACCTGTCCTTTCGTGAAATACATCACCGGACTCAATGAAAACAGAAAGCTAGAGAATCAGTGAATACTCTGAGCAGGCCGTTTCAAACCCTCGTTGTTCCTTTTGCCATCTTTGTAATAAGATCGTTTTTATTCACTTTGTTTACCCAAAGCCTATCTGTAGTAGAGTTTATCCTCAGACTGTGATGCTAGATGCTTCTACATTCTTCCAGTGATTTTCAAGTGAAATTGATGTTCTGCTTGGCATAAGTCACATGCTCACTGACACAGACCACCACTTCTATACAAAGAAATGTCTACCCCAGCCTGCTGCAGCTTTTCACTGGCCTTTATGTAAGAGTGGTAGAGATGTAATGAAAACCAAGTTGTTGTTTTTCTTTTTCTTTTGGAACTGCTTCCAAATTCTGTGATGCAATCAGCCACAGCTGACAGACACCAATCACTTTTTTAAAAATTATTTTATGTATATTGGTGTGAGGTTGTCAGATCTCTGGAACTAGAGTTACAGATAGTCCTAAGCTGCCATGGGGGTGCTGGGGATTGGATCTGAGTCTGGAAGAGCAGCCAATGCTGTTCACCACTGAGGTGTCTCTCCAGCCCCTACTAAACACTTTCACAGGTTGTAGCTGGATCATCAGGAAGCCTTCCTCTGGGACATGGCAATACCCCTCAGTCTAGGTTTGGGAGAATGTGGACTAAGACAAAGAGGTCTTTGAAGCCTCTTTATTTTCCCAATCATCCTCTTCAGCATGGTTCTTCTGAGGTCAGGAGAGGTGACCACCTCTCCTGATGGGCTCATAGATCCTCTTACCTTTAAAGGGGGAATTAGGTACCTTGGCACTGCACTGCAGAGCACAGGGTCTTTGATCACACTGAAGGCAGTTCACCTTACTGTGCCAAGTACATCTGTTGGAACACAATACATCATTGTCTTTGCAAGTAATGTTGTCATTAAGCAGCTTCACCAAAAAAACAAAAAACAAACAAAAAAAACAACTGCTTCTCCCATCTCACCTTACCTGGTAACAATGACTCCTGCTCACAACCTCCAAGCATTCCACCCCAGATAGATGTAGGCTGGTTGGGCAGCCCAGACTCATGCTTGTCTTCTGGTTAGATGATTTGCTCAGAACTCCTTTGCAAAACTGTGCAGATTGCTAAATTTATCCATGGAGTTGTTCTTTTTGTATGAGTCTGTTGTCTTGGGGCAGAAATCCTGCATTTTGATATTGTAGGAAATGAACTTGAAATGTAGAGATACAACCAAGAATAAATTTGATATTTTTTTTTAATTCAGGAGATTCTGAGACTAGTTTAGTAAGTGGTTAGTTAGCTGGACAGACTCAGTGAGAGACGTGTTAGCACCCTGTTGACAAGCCTCCTGCCACAGCCTCAGGTAGATCTAACATCTCCCGACCTATTCTTTTAGTTTGTGACTCTGTTCAGATCCGCAACAAGATCCTGAGAGCTGCCAGGATTGTGTGAACCTTGGAATTTCAAAGAAAAAGGTTGGTATTTTCCAAAAACTATCCCCTTAGGGTTTCTGAGACAAAAGAGGCAACTAGAGAAAGGAGATTGCATTTTTCATCTTAAAAATAACTAAGACCGTAAAATATCTTTAGTAGGACTTGCCTTGACAACCTCTCTTAGGCAGTTTTTTTTTTGTTGTTGTTTTGTTATTGTTTTTCCTGAGTCTCAAGCATGTGTTCACTCTTTTAGACACTGCACCTATGTGAATGGCTCCTCATGATCGTTGCATTCTTTCAGATGGCTAGCTGACGGAACCTTTTAAAAACAAGCACTGAAAATTGCTTCATTGACCCCGTGGTCTTCATGGGCTCGTTGCACGTGCTCCTGTTCTGGGGAAGAGTGTTCAGCCCCATTCCTCACTTTTCTGTAATCTGGGAACAAACTCCTGCCTTCGTACCTTATCCCTGTGAGAACAATGGAGACCAAAGATGGTCTTCCATAAGTTCATTCAATTCTGTCTTGATCTGAACTTTGAAGTTCCGTGTTTGTGGTTTTTTTGAGACACAAATTGTTCAGCTTCTTAGAAGGAAGGTCAGATTCTATAGCGACTGAAATAACAGCCATGCCGTGTGTGCCAGTGTGTGTGTTGTTCCTAGAGATTTCAAACTATTCTAACAGTTCATAAATGGATTTGGTATACTTCAGTACAAACTAATGCTCTCTTACTGGTCGTAATACCTTAAGTGGTGATGTCTCTGGTTGCGTTCCCTCTACCATAGGGCCTTGTTTATCTGTGGTCATGGAACCCAGTGTTCAGTGGACCCTTGTATCAAGCAGATGCGGACTCAGCTCTGCACTTCATCTGTGTTTGAGCAAGTGATAATCAGCTTTTGAGAAACCAGTTTTCTTATCTATCAACTAGAGAATGCTTGGGTTATCTGCCTGGAAGGGAAGACTTGATCAAAATGAATTCTGTTACCACCTCTAATGTGTCACCGTTATCTTCTTCTCTAAGAACACTGTGTTAACAAAAGGGAGGTAGTTCCAAGGTTGCCATGACCATTACGGGACAGACAGTCTGAAAACATTCAGGTGAACTGCTAACGGTGCTGGCTGACTTACCATTCCAGTGCTCAGGCACACAAGAGTATGGCTGACTATCTGGTGGCCCTTAACCATTTGTCTCCTTAGATCTCAGTCACTTTGTCACCCTAAGAGGCACTGGAGCTCCCGAGGCTCACAGTGTGACTGCAGAGATCCAACGCCAGTGAACGTAGGGGTTGGCAGTAAACAGTTCTGTGCAAATATGAGATGCTGAATCTGCTGCCCACGTCCCTTCTGATTGTTAAAAGTTGAGCAAATTGGAGAGATTTACATTTGGTGCATATAAGAAATCCTAATCTCCTGCCTCCCAGTTCCTCTCAAATGTCTTCCTGGAGTGTTTGATGATGATGCCAGGGTCACTCAAACGGGATGCCGAGTCACACACTGTGTACAACGATTAGCCGTTTGCCCTTTCTCTTTGGTTCTGTACCGCCATGCAAAAAAACCTTAAATGTATGTTCTAAGCACTCGGGACCCTTTGAAATTAAAGTAGGATGTTTCATTTTTCCCTGACAATTTATATTTCAGCATTGTTCTTGAGTGTTAATTTTCTAAGCGGGTATGAGCTTTACCAAGTTGATGTTTTTTTTTCAAAGCTCTCGTATGTGGATAACCGGTTGCCATTCAGGAAGAGCAGGCTTGATGCACTGGAGCAATTGTGGGGCAGTGGCTTACTTCTCTCCTGGGCAGGCTCCAGGCACAGGAGTCTCTCTCTGTGTTGGACTTGCCTGCCTTAACATTTTTCTGTATTTGAAATGGAGGAAGTGTGTGTGTGTGTGTGCGCGCGCGTGCGCGTGCATGTGTTTGTGTTTCCTAGGAGTTGAACCTAGAGCTTCACCTCTGCATATGCAAAGGATCTACCACTAAGCTGTGTCCCCAGCTATAATACTCTTCTCTGTCACTGGTAATATATCTGCTCATGCTAAAGGATCCATGAGCCGATGTGCCTTTGACTTTTTACCTAGAAAAACTGTCTAACATGGCTAGGGAATTCTGAGAAGGACATTTTCCTGGGTGTTTCACAAACCATAATAAATGCATTTGCTCCTGGCTTCCTGGATGAGCAGTAAGTGCTTCTCACAGGACAGGCTATGTAATATTAAGAAATGCCCTCTATCAGGGGCTGGAGAGATGGCTCAGAGGTAAGGAACACTGGCTGCTCTTCCAGAGGTCCTGAGTTCAATTCCCAGCAACCACATGGTAGCTCACAACCATCTATATATGAGATCTGGTGCCCTCTTCTGGCATGCAGGTGTACATACAGACAACATTGCATAAGATTTATTTATATATTAACAAATCTTTAAAAAAGACAGAAAGAAATACCTTCTATCTATCAATGAGAGTCTACCTTCTGCCATCATCCTGGCTTTCCCCACAAAACCCGCCGTCCCCATTCTCTGAGCCCTTCTCCACCGACCTGCTAACAATTGGCTCTTTCTCTCTTTTATTCTCTTCCTAGAGCTGAGTAAAAACCGAAGAAAACTTTTTGAACCACCAAATGCATGCAGCTCCTTCCTGGAAGGCGGAGCCAGTGGGAGGCTACCCCGCCAGTACCACTCAGATATTGCCAGTGTCAGTGGCCGTTGGTAGCGGTACCTTCTGGACACATACCTGCTATCTGCAAAGGTGGACATGATCTGTGGACAGTATTCACTGCACCCATCCGTCCTTGGCACCCTGCGTGTCTGGTATCAGGACCAAAGCATTGAATTCGCACCTGTACTTCATGGCAAAAAAAAGGAATGCAAGAGAAGTGTCTCGAGTTCTCATGTTGCCATAAAGCACCAAAGGGAGAATGCTTTTTAAGCTGGCAATTGGACAGAATTTGCAAAAAGAGGGTAGGGCTTTGTTTCTTTCTATTTACCTATATTACATATGCACTGATTTTTTTTTTTTTTTTTTTTTTTTTTTTTGGTACCTAAAATGAAGGAGAATTTGACATCTGGGATGCCAGTTACTTTGTTTGCTTGAACTGTCTTGGTGTTTGGGGATTTGAAAAAAAAATAATCAAAGTATAATTTTCTGCTTTAAAAGAATGACTGAGGTCTTCCAGCACTTTACATGGTCTAGTAGCTCGTCCTGTGGAATCTGCTTCTCATCTTCATGTTTCTGGGATTGGTACACATTTTTTTTTTCTGGCTCCATCAAATGTTTATTTGAAATGGTACTGGACTTTAATTGGTTCCTGGGCAGAATTTTCTGTGCTGTTGGGAATTGTGGGCCACTTGGCTCTGGACCAAATTCTGTTCATTTGTGTCAGCATCTTATGAGCCCTTGGCCATGACTGCAGTCCACTGGCCAGGTACAAAAGACAGACCAAATGGACTTTGCAATACTAGCTCTTTGCAGTTGTCAGAGTTAGCTGCTGTCTGTATTGCAACGGTGATCTTAATGGCTGTCTAAAGGCCAAGGGGCTGGTCTTTTAGTATACTGCCACTAAAGGACATTTATTTATATCAAACTTTTTATTTCTAGATATTCTAAGCATACAGTAGATAACTGATGAAATTGATATTTCCTAGAGATTTATGGAAGAGAATGAGTTGCATTCATAACTGGATCCCCAGGTTGTCACTTTATTTAAAAAGACAAGTAACCATTTGACGAGACAGCAGTGCTGCCATGATGAAGAGGCCCCCTCCTTACCCAGTAGCTCCACCCACTGTGGGTCATGGGACTTCACCTAAAGTGCCTTCTTCAGTTTGAAGTCCTCAACTCTGATCAGTTGGGAACAGAGAAAGGGTGCCAGGGACAGCTTATCCAAGTGCTGAATTCTGAAAGGGGAGAAAACTGTTTTCTAAATGGCCGGATTTATTGTTACAATCTTATACTGTGAAAGTCCAAGGGAACAGATGGCGTTATTTTCTATGTTTGCAGACATGTGGAGGTTTTCAGTCCAATGAAGAAAACCACTCGAGTGCCTTTCTCTATTCAGAGCGATATTCTTACCAAGTTTATACTTTTTTTTTAAAACTCCCCCATAGGGCATATTGTCAGTTACCTTAGTAATGTGTTCATGCTTAGTATGTTAAGGCTCTCCGTGTGACCTAGACCATTCCCACCTGATCTCCATAGAGGCGTTGGAGGAAGGCATACAAAGCTGGGCATCTATGCAAATGCCAGGTAAAAAAAAATACTTGCCTAATGCCCTCCAGGCTAATTCTGATCACTAAAGAGTTGAAGGAATTTTTATCCATAGAAAAGTTTTCACTTTGAAAACTTTTGGCTACCTGGAGGCATAGATGATGACAATGAGCTTGGCATAGCAGTAATGTCCACCTGGCGTCAGTCTCAGACCAACCGCTTCAGGATACAGAACTGAATCACTCCTTGTGCAGGTACAGCATGGCCATCCTGTGCCCATGTGCTCAGGTGATCACCCTGGGCTTACCATCACATATCCAGTGGACCGTCTTGATGGACTATTCAGTTCTCTAAATTTTGTTATTTTTTTAATTAAAAAAAATGCTCATTGGGAGTTCATTGTGGACTCTGCCATGCATTTGCTAGAGGAAGGAGAGGAACCAATATTCAATATTAAGCTAGTTTAGGCTGTATGTGTGTAGTGCTCTGATTTTACACCAAAGGGAAACTGTCCACTTCAACCCGATTAAAAAGGGAGGCTAAGAAAGAAAAATAATAATTAAAAACACTGGAAGGTTTTTCTCCCTTTTTCCTGGTGCAGAGGAGGGAACATGACACCGGAGCCTGCAGACACATTGGTGTTCTGCCATGCACAGAGTATTTGGGTTGTTCGGAGCCATGTTAACTTGGCCTTACTCATGACTGGTAATCTGTAAATATGGAGCAGAGACAGATTGTATTTTGTGGGGGATTCTTGTCCTTTTATCCCTTTTTTTAAAAATACAAGAGACGGGATTAACATTAAAAGTGGGGATTTGTTTTCTAAACTAATCGTTACATGAGAAATAAATTTATATACCCCCTTTGTATTGCTTTCTACATGGAATGTGTCCTTTTTTTTTCTTCTTCTTCTTTAAAATCTTTGTTTCTGAGAAGACTTCAGGAGATGGACTGTTTCCAGCCGAGTGTGAATGTCTCCTCAGCAGAGTTGAGTCTGTGTCCTCTCTCCTCACGCACCATCGGCAGGAAGCTAAGGGACTTTATTTTAGCCAGTGAGTTGGAGACTAATGATTGGTTCTTTTCACTGTCGCCAGCCATCAGTATATATAGAAAGAGTAACATTAGAGTAGGTTTGTTCTTATTTGTTCTTTCTGTAATAAAGAGTCAAGTGGGATGACTGCTTTGACAAACATGTCCATCAGCGAAGGTTTTATGACCAGTTGGGCTGAGTCCGACCATGGTGCAGAGTTTGTTGATCTAGCCAGTGGATGGTCAGTGGTGCCATGACTCGAGACTCCAACCAGGCTCATTCTCAAACTGAGATTGGAACTCTGTTACTAATCGTGAGATGTGGCTAAATATTTAAGAAACCCTGGCCTTCTGCCCTTACCGTCTCAGGAAGATCTCCACATGAATTGTTTATGTCAACAATTCTTGGTAATTATTTTGAGAACAAGGTTTCCTTGTGTGATTAAAACCTTATGGGTGTCTCAATGAACAAATCACCACACGTTCATAGAATGTTATATATGTGCCACTCCATAGTCCAGGCCCAGTAGTGAGTGAAATGGAACCATTTGGGCTGGCAAGATGGGTCGGTGGGTAAAAGTGCCTGCTACCAAGCCTTATGGCTAGAGTTCAGTTCCCTAGCCAACGCCTACAAGTTATAATTGGACCACGATACACATATGCTGTGGAATGTTTACCCCCATCTACACACACAAAAAAATAAGTAGATAGATTTGATAGATAGTTGGGTAGATAAATAGGAAGGGAACAGATCCCTCTGTCCTCCTTAAGCTGACATTCTGAATGCATAAACAGAGCCGATGAGAAAGGTTTGAGTATGTGTCATATGACTCTGCCTGGACAGACCTAGAGGGTGTCTATTCCAGACGAAGAGGGCACCTACAAACCAAAAAGGACTGGGTAAACCAGTGAGGTTCTTGGGGCTACCTACAGGGACATGGGTGATTCAAAGACTGCCTCATCACTAATAAGTGTTGCCCACAGCATACAGCACGGCTAACCCATGGGCAGCTATACCATTGAACAGGCCTCACCCCCAGACAGCATTGACCTCGCATGTACTTTAGCTACTCTAAGATGCTGACTGGCAGAGCAGGGTGGAATGGGGACTGGGGTCTCGGCTGAGGAGACTCCCCTTCAGAGAGAGATTGTTAGGGACCCCAATGATCTGTCAGCTCTGCTGCTCTCCTGCTTCTGTTACCAAGTCTTCTGTGGGACACTGTGGCCAGTCTACTTCATGATGGATGGAGGTCACATCACCCCAGAAGAAGCCCCTCACCTACAGCACTGTGGACCATCTCTGCCTTTCTTCGTGAGCCTCTGTAAGTGCCCTGGGGGAGCTTCCTGGAGCTGTCTAGAAGTCCAGTGTTTAATAAAACTGTTGAAGGTGCCCATTGCATCAAAACGGACCCATGCTTTCAGGTGCCAATGACTCCTTCCCCATTCCCCTCTCCCTCTCTCTAGTTGCACAATTTCAATTATATTCGCAAAGGGAGGGTGTAACTGAATGGCTGAGAAACCCCTCAGAGCTATGCTGTGACAACATCAGGGACCCTAGTTCTTTAGACCGTGCTCTAGGTTACGTCATGGTGTTTGGGAGTTGGGTGACTTTGCTGTCACGGTGGATGCTGGAAGCAGGCTGTGATAGTTGGGACTTAATTCCAGATATCCAGATGGTAGACAGTGGGATAATCAGAATCTCTCTAGATCAAACTGTTCTCAAAGTAATATATCCTCATTTGAGTACTTAACTACATAAATTCTGGTACGTTAGAATGCATTTAACCTAGTAAGACGGTATTTATCCAATGTGCCGTATGCTTGCAGTCCCCAGCACAGGCCTTGATTCTCCTACTGTCCTACTGCAGATAAGCTGGCTTCCTTTCCAAACACAGCGTTTAGGAAGACTCCAGGTAACTTAGCCGTGAGGTTAAGACACTGGGAGTCAAGTCCGAGAAGGATGCAGATAGATGTCGTCTTTATAGTGAGGGAAGACTCCGTACCACAGAGGCCGTGTCTGTAAAGCTGAAATCCTCATCTTTGTGGTGTTGCTGATGGAAGGGGGGGGGGGGGCAGTGTTGGTATATAGCTCCACTCCCCAGGGTATTTAGCAAAGCAGCACATCTATTGCTGCTCACTCGTCTTTCCTTTTAGTGCATACATGTTTTGTTCCCTTCCTGGAAAACTTGTGGTGTTCATCTGTTTCCTCCACCAGAAGGAGAAAGACTACTTCTGCCTGATTGTTAGAGGGGAGAAACTGAAGCTTAGTCACGTATGGTGAGGGAGAGTTAACGTATTATTTGCCTCGTTGGATAAAGACACGCTGGCCAGTGTATTTGTGGGGCATTTTCAGAGGATGAACTGAGGTGAGTGGTGCCATCCCATGACCTGGAAGCCCAAGGTAAGTTAAGGTAAAAGCCAGCTGAGAGCTCTCGCCCTCCTTCTCCCTGCTTCCTCTCCCACGGAGGTGCGAGCAAGCTGCTGAGTGCCATTACCACAAAGCTGTGGTTGCCATGTTTTCCTGACATCCTGGATTGTAACCCTTCATGAGCTGGAGTGTAACCCTCTCCTTTCCAACCTGTCTCTCATTATATGCCTAGTTACAGAGATGAAAAACAGTACCCACTTCCTGAGGTGAGTCCGGGGCCAGACGTATTGAAATGAAGTCCTCCTTGCACCAGGATCCTGGGTTTTGATCCAACCATCTGTGTCACCAGTGTGTTCCTAACTGGATTTACAGTCAGTGGCTGTATCTAATTATCTGATTGTCACATTCTTTGGAGTTCTTACTT